ACCTGTGAAAGCTGGCTGGCTGTTGTCATGGCTGGGTGGCTGATTGGCATCCTGCTGGTAAGACGGCTGCGGCTGTGGCAGCTGCGGCGTGTAATTTGGATATGATGGCTGAGAGAACTCAGGCCTTGGGTGCTGAGCGGGTTGGTGGAAAAAAGGTAACTTAAAGGAGAACCGGGATGCCGATTGTGGATCCGTTGCTGGATGGGAGCCGGTTCTTGAGGGGTTCGACGGACCCGAACCAAAGTTTAGCCCAGCCATTTGTCTCTGCACATCCTCGAGCATTTCGCGGCACTGAATGTTTCTGGTCATAACAAAGTCACTGCACTGCTGCTTCACATTGTTTACTGCATCCTATTGGGAGAGAGATAGGAAAGCTTTCAGATTTTGAATATTAGGAAATTTACATACGTTAAAGCATTTCCTATGTATTTACCTGTCTCGCACCTAAAATTTTACATTTAAATATATATTACTTTGGTGCTTTAAACCTATAAATTAAAATGTGTGTTTCTATTTTAAAAAGTGACAATAGTGTTAATTTTTTATGTAATATTAATGATTTGAGTGTTGTGTGTGTAAATATGAATGTTTAGGTGAGAGATGAGTAAAAACATAAAAACTGTATGCTATGTATGTAAATTCCCATTGAATATTTTGTCCGTGAAGGTAGGATCATTTTCCTTTCATGAAATGAACAACATGATAGTTTAAAAGCAGAGAGGAAAGGCATGGCAGTTTTCATTTGAGATTGGTCGGATTAGAACAGAAGATGGATACCTGGAGAGTAACATAAAACTTCATTCCCTCGTTGATGTTGTCTTTAATTTCTTGATATTTTGCTATGGCAGCAGCAATTTGTTTGTAGCATTTGTCACGAGCAGCTGGTCATAAGGACTTCGTTTTAGCTCAGGAAAGTTTTGACAATCAACAACAACAACAACAACAACAACAACAACAACAACAACAACAACAACAAAGCCTTAATCCCACTACGTGGGGCTGGCAACATGAATCATTTTTCTCCATTGCATCCTATTTAGTGTCATATGCAGAACTAATTTAAATATGCAGAATAATCAATCCAATGTTTTTTCTCAGATTTCTCGTTTGATTAAAAAGAAAAACACAAGGACTGAAAGTGATTAAGAATGATAAATTTGTACTTAATGAATAACAAGTTCCAAAATAAACCAGGTGTCCACAGAATTCCACAGTTAAAACTTACTCTGAAAAAGAAACAACCACACCTTGATTTAAGTTCTGTCTGAACGCAGTGACAGAAGCTAATGCTGTGCTTCTTTTAGCAAATTGCATGCTAGGAATATTTACTTACCTTATTAGAAAATCAATTAAAGACAGACTAACATGGCCTCGAACATTTGATAAGAAAATCTAAGGTGTAACCGATTTATCATGATTTCATCATTAATAATTTGGGATAATTACATGCATAGCACCTGAAATATTGTTATTTACAAACTCTAGCACACAGCTGATATTTTTGAACCAGTGAACCAATGTATTTACGTGTGTCACAATCAAACCATTGTGAATTAGATAAAAATGAAAAATATGGGGTTTTATCATGAATTTTGATATTTTGAGTGAGAATTTGAAAAATGGATGACAGAAGGTGCTAGATTTGTAAATAACAATGTTTCGGGTGCTATGTATGTAATTGTCCCTAATACTTTATGAAAGAAAGCTGGCATCTCACTGACTTTGAAAAGTGCATCACATTTTATCAGGCATACTTGATCAAGATTTACCAGAAGATCAAACCAGATGCCTTGATAACATAAAACTCTAAATAAAACGAAAGGAATAAAGGATGAGAACCTTTATAATCTTCGAGATTAAATATGGCAGCGAACTCTTCATTTTGTGCCTGAAATACAAAAGAAACTCAAACACGAGAAATGACGCATTCTAGCCAGATATAAGAAAGGAAAGCAAAGAGACTTCTCATCACTTCTAACAAGCCATGTTTTATGGCAATAGTGCAAACTTCACGGTAAACAATGTAATGGGGACTTGAAAGTAAACAGAGAAAGTAACCTAAGCAGATGACAAAAAATAATCCACATTTTCATCTGCATTCAATAATAAAATAAAAAACCGTAGTTTCTTCATCCAATTCATACTTTCAAATTTGAATCACCGTCATTTCAAAGACCACAACTCCATGCCATGATCTACATAAAGAAAAGTAGGCTATGTTTGGAAAAGCAGTAGGCTATGTTTGGAAAAGCAGTAGTGATGCAGAGCACAATATGATCAGCAATATCCACATAGGATCAACACCTTACATTGTTACACCAAGTTTGTCATGTTTCAGATTTATCTTATAATTCACGGTTATTTAAAATCATGTTTATCTCATAAACAAGGACATTTAAGTCCTTTTACTAGCCTGATAATTCCATTCTTTGTGTGAACCCATATAGTCTATATAACAGGTTCTAATCTTCTCTTATGAACATTAAGATACTATAACGATTATTCTCCTCTCTCCCCCTTCTTTGTCTCTCTCCTATCCCCAGCTAGCACTAACCCCCATTTCGTAGCAAAGTTAAAAATATTCATTATAAAATGTACAAAATTCCTTCTCTTGATTTTCCACCACCACTTTTGTGAGCATTATCGTAGCATTATTGAATTCTAAGCTTACACCTTGTATATATGCCAACCACTAAAAAAAAATTGTTCCCTCACCATCCCTCGTGAGGTGTTTTGATTGATTGTTTCCTTTTTTGCATGCATAACTTCATCTTCATGATTGGTAGGACCGTAAGGAATCCAAATACTAAAAAATCTACACAACCTCATCCTCAATCCGATACCTTTGTGCGTTCAGAATATGCCAACTTTTTCCCTCCCATTCATTTCCCTCGTTTTGATATGTCACCCACATTTATTTCTCATGCATCACACCATCCAGGAAAGCAAAGCCATAAAAACTCAAAACACTTGGAACCCTACTTCACATCACCCAACTTTAATCCCCTTCATGCATAGAATCTTAACTAACATTTTTATTACTCCAGTTCATTATAACAGGCAAAGCCCCCTTCATTCATTAATTTTCTCAACAAATCCTCATTCAAATCCAAAACCTGACCTATCCAAGCTCCTCAAGCTACAATATTTTTTGTTGGATTATTTTTTAGCAAACCCAACCACCAACATGAAAGATATCCCTCCCTAGACATAGAACAAAAATTGAGTAAGGGAAGAAAAACTTCAGCCGGGTCAGAAATCAATAATGCAAAAGATGTAAAACACCTACTGGGATCACAAATCAACAGCATCGAGGGTGGCCTTTATCTTGATTGGATCAAAGTAAAATGTGTGTGAGTTTTCACACTAATCAAATCAAAGTTGATGGCCCCTCAATGATTCACGCGCATTCTTTAAGTTAGATTGTTTTTTTAACTTAATTCCTTGTCTCGATTTTTCCCCCACTTTACATGAGCGTTCTCCTGATATATTGAATTCTAAACACACAACTTGGCCTTCACGCCAAATATCAAAAAGTTGTTTCCTCACCATCCTCCGTGAGGTGTCTTGATTGATCGCTCCTTTTTCAGTATGCATAACACCATCCTCATGATTGTAGGACCATAAGTTAACCATGACAGTATTAAAAAAATAGGTGACAGATATTTTGAAAAATAAAATTTGAGAATTAATACTATTTATGAGCATCAGTTAAGTATTACAGGTCCCCACACATTAAACGGGCCTACAGCAAACTGTTGTGTGACCTATGAAAATTGATTAATATTGGCCCCCACAAACACTTTTTCAGGCCCCCGCAAAGTTAATGATGAAAATTTCACCATACAATAAGTTTACTATAACTTGCTAAAACTTGAATTATTTCACATATTTAATTGATTAAATTAACCTAATTCAAATTATTGACTTAAATTGGACCGCCCTATGAAACACTGGCTCACACACACACACACATATATATTAAGGCATAAAGAATCCACATGCAAAATCAATCTAAATCTGCACTTTCTTCTAGTACTAATTTTTCATTGGTTCACAGGCTTAGAAATGATACTGTTGCCTGCAACTAAGGTGAAGAGTACGACTCCCCCAACAAAAAAGGTGTACAAGCTTCAGTTCCTGTGTTAAGACTTTTTTTTTCACAAGAATCCTAGATGACTTATTGCACCTAAGCATGGACGTAGGCTTGCAAGCCAAAAAACATAAAAACCGCTCTGGTTGTCCTTATCTGTACTATTTTGAACGCTTTACTTCACCATGAATTATTTGTGTTACTTTTAATAAATAATTTTAAAATATATTTAGTTCTTAAACAAATAAATATTTCTGAAATAAAAACCCAAGTCACCCCCATATTAAGTCATATAAACCATCAACTTCTATAATTCAAGTTTTGTAGCTGATGGGAGATTTAATGTATCACACATATGTTCTGGATCCCAAACTAATAAAATAGTTTAAGAAGATTTTGCACAAAATTATTCATAGTTGCATATTAGATGGCCCCATAACCAATACAAAGAATTACTATTAATATTTAAATGGGCCCTATTCGTATGTTTACCAGTGAATTCTAATTAGGTTATAGGGTAGTCTTTGGGAGATTAAACCCTTCCTTCAGTTAATTATTCAAACTCATGTTTTATATCATGTCAAAATGATAGTCTATTTGGGACAATTTTCTGCATGTTTTGCGTTTTAGTACGTCACCACAAATCTACTTATTGAATCAGTTACTTGCTGCTTTCTATAATTTTTCGTGTTAAGAAGCTGTTTCTGGCCGCCATATTTATTAAAGTTTGATGATTATAAGAAAGTTGTTATCTGACTTTTTGAATATATATATATATATATATATATATAAAGATTTACTTAGCATACCGCTCAATTCCTATGTATTTACATATATATATATAACATGTAAACTTCAATTTTTAGATGCATATCACGTTATCTGAGCATGAATCACCATAACTTTTGAAAAAGTTGATTTTCTTACTATAACATCACAATGCCTATATAAAAAACTACAACGGCCCCAAACAAATCCTTAATGGGGTTTGGAATTTGAGTTGCTCATATCTAAATATGTGTTTTAACTCTAGTCCAATGAATCATCATTTTATTCACCCTTCAAAATAGTAGATCTTATGAAGCTCCCTAGACTGATCTCGTTTAGCAAAATGATAAATATTTTGATCAAATAAACTTCCCTTTCCTCATTTACTTGGTTTGCATGCATATTTGGTTTCTTATTTATCCGTGACTTAGGTGAATAATATTTAACATTCAAACACTTTTTGGTGACCAAACAATGGTATTAAATGTAACCATGGCACTAGAGCCACAAAACAATCACAATGCATATTACCCTGTGAAACTTCAACAATCATCGCCATATTTTTAGTCAGGTTATTTTGGTCTCCATAAACTTAGATCAATGATCAATTAAGGGATGTTAAACTTTAATGGGATAAAAAAAAAAAGACAGTACAAAGAGCTTCAAACTCTAGCTGGATATAAAATCAACATCAAGGATGTCCTTTGTCTTAATTGGATCAAAGATAGATGGTCGCAAGTCCTCACAATAACCAAATAAAAAACAATGATCGCCTTAATGATTCATGTGCAGTCTTTAAAACGTTTTCAAGAAGTTACTACTTGTGTCTTCTATTTATATTTATCCTTATTTTCTTATTTTTCTAATTGATGGTTATAAAAGCAACCGTGACATTTGAGGCTCCTCTTGTGAGAATTCAGAGGATTTCGATGCATTGAAGAGCTTATGTTCACCTAACAATTATGATGTCAATCATCCGATAATGATCCAAGAATCACTACTGAATTTCTTATTGTGAGTAATTAGTGAAAATAATGATGATTCCCTTTATCTAGATCAAAGAGCAGCACAGAGAGGCAAAATTCCAGATGAATTAAAGATTGAATACACAAAGGTCTTTAAGCTTTACATGAAACAAGGAATAACAGTTGGCTGGATCAAAGATCAGTTATCGCAATGCTTAAATCTTACTAGATCAAAGAGTGATGGCCCTCTAAAATTATTGGATCGAACAACTACAATTCTTCAAATTTATCTATTCATGTTAATTATGTGTAAAGGAAATACTTAGTGTTAAGGTGGATGAAGGTTGGTGGGGTTGAGAGTTGGCAGGGGTAGGATTGATTGTACCATGTGGCAAGTATTTTTTAGCACGAAAAAGTTAACCTATGATGAGGACTAAATGAGGACTAAATGAGTGTAAATTAAAGTGATGTTGGCATGAGCAAGAGAGAAAACACAGAAAAAAACACGAGTAAATAACCGCAGTGATATAGGGAAAGGTAGAGTAAGGTATTTAGCAAGCAAGCTGTAATAACTGTATAAAAAATACAACAACAGCAACAAGCCTTTATCCCACTACGTGGAGTCAGATACAATAATCCTTTTTTCTCCATTGTGTCATATTTTCACTTGATTTTAATAGATTAAGATCATTTTTATACAATATGCCCAAATCTTTTCAGGCTTACCTCTATCTTTCCTTACATAAATCAAATCTTAAACATCTACTCTCCTAATCAGATCATCAGATTTTGGGGCTGTGATTTTTTTGGTTTCTTTGGTGTAGAAATGTGAATTCATGAGCATGGGAGACTTATGGGACTCTCTTCCCTCTCTATGCGTTCAGGTGTAATTGGTTATAGCTTCTCTATGGCTTTCTCTGATTTCATTTGGATTTTTTGGTATACTGCAATATGAAATGATGGGGCATTGGGGGGACTTATACGGCTCTCATCTTACTGTGTGGCGGTTGGGTGCGATTGGTTATGGCTTATATGTGAATGTCTCTGATTGCATTGGTTTGGCTTGGGGTTATGAGGATGGTTTTCAAATTGATTTTTGGTTTCTTTCTTCCTTCTAGCCTACCGTTTAATGTGCATTGCCCTCTACTTTGTTTTGTTGTTGATATTACATAAAAATTGCATGTGGTGGGCTTGGGCAAGTAGTCAACAACATAAAATTTGGGTATGTTTGGTTAGTGTTTAAACAAAGGGTGTGAGCAAAGGATTATTGGCCATAAATGTTCAAAAAGAAAAAAATTGCTGAGATTGATATATGTAGATGTCATGCAAATTGATACTATATGATCTGCTATTACAATAGAGATATGCAATGGTGGTTTGGAAGCTTTGGTTTAAAATCCAAGAATGGATGTGGATGTCATGCAATTTTTTAAATGTTATTAAGAGGATAAAATTTTTTTTTTTGGTTATGATGAGTCATATGGCCCTAGCGTTCTTTTGGATAATTTTTATGCTGCTATGTGTTTCAATATATAGGAGTTTGTCTTACACAAGTATATACCACAATATCCTTCAAAATATGACATTAAATTTAATAATTTAGAGACATATCACACATATATTCCACATGAGGCTTATGAAAACAAGGTTGGTCTATCAATAATGGATAACGAAGACGTTGAGGATCACCCCTCAGGATGGTGAAGCTGATTATGGTTCAACTAAGGGAACATATTACAAATGCTTTATTTGATGAGTGAATCTTATATTCCTGGTTATTTCTGTTGTGTACTTTAGAGGTTGTTTTGTTTGTTGAAAATGTAATGCAATATAAAATGAATGTAATATAGAAGTAATGCATCGTAATTGAAATATTTGTTTTGTTCACCGTAAAATAAACATAAGCCTTTATATTTTTTTTGTTTGGTTTGAAGTAGGTTGAAAATAATGTATTTCAAAATATATAAAATATTATTGGCAAATGACAGGCAGTATTTGGCAGCGGCGACTGACGAAGGGTGGCTAAGAACAACAGACAACAATAGTGAACTGCGAGCAGCGGATGGCATCTGTCAAGCTGCAGCAGAAGATGGCGACAAAGACGAATAGTGGAAGGGCGGTGGGCGTGCTGCAGGAGACGACAATGGGCAATGGCAAGCGGCGGCAGCTAACGGCGAGAAGCAACAGGCTGCTGTAGCAAGCTGCGACGTCGGGAGGTGGATGCGAACAAAGGATTGGGTTGTTGATGGCGAACAGAGGCAGCGACGATTTGCTTCAACGATAGGGAGACGACAAACGACAGTCCGCAAATGGTGGTTGCGGGGTTTCAACAAACCACAGCATGCTGGCAGCTGACAATTGGTGTCTTACGGCGGACAACGTGTCGCAAATAGTGGGTGGCGGCTACGTTGATTGGCCAATGATGGTGGACTGCGGGTGATAGCAGTGACAGACAACAATGTGGGGTTGTGATTGATGACATGTAGCAACAGGAGGCAACAGACAGATAGAGGGTAGCGGCGAATGGCGGCGAGGGCAAGCGGCGGTCTGCCGATAATATTTTACATAGATGATCGATGTAAATCTCAAATTTGGCCAAATGGACTGAATTTACAAATCGATCAAAAAGAAGTAAAGTGTAAAATTCAAATTCATTCATACTTTACATTATATTTGCAATTCTTCAAACTAAACATATAATTTTCTAAAATCCCTACAAAAAATTTATAGTAAACTACAAATTCTCCCAAACAAACAACCCATAGACATTTAATTTTGCTTGAGTTATTTTCTTTTGTATTTATTTATTTCATCAATGATTTGTGAATTGTGAAATTTTGTTGAATCCAAAAAAATATTAAATATTATGTTGTGTTGTTGCGTTAAGACTTGCTTTAGTTTTTTTTTCGTAAGATTTATGATAAGTCATATGTCTAGGGATTCCTCTGGATGACCTTAAGCTTGTTTTCTTTTTCGACATATATGAGTTTGGAAATAAATGCTTAAAGGCAACCAAGATCACATTTTTTTATTGGTCATCCGCCTTCATATAGCGGTTGATTATGCATATTTTTATGTTAACTCAAAGCCCTTATTTTATTTATTTACTTACTCATTATATCACACATATAATGTGATTTTTTGATTAAGCCTTAAGACTTTGCATTCTCATGAAATGAGTTCAAGAAATTTAAATGTTTCTAAAGTTATACACTGCAACTGGATATGCAATATTCCTAGTATACTTCAGGACAAGAAGCTATGTATGTGAGAAGATTTTATAGGTCTCCCATAATAGATGATTGTAATTATTTTAAATGGGTTGATGATAGTGAAGAATCGACTTCAAATAGTGATAATGCCTGAAGAGAAACTCTGAAAAGAAAATTCTCCAAAAAACTTGATTGTTTGGACATGAAGAATGATGTTATAATAGCATTAATTATAATAAATTACTTGTAATTTTTATTATCATATTATTATGTGTTAAGTGATATATTATACCAGATGTAGTATAATAATAAATTTATGATTTTTTTTTAACTGTTAAAATTTATTTATGTTGTTCAGTTTAAATTATTTTCGAAACAACGAACTTATAGTTAATACATACATAAAGACATTACAATCTTTATTTTCTCAATAGCTGCAGCATAGCAGATTATCCATACTGCTTCACCATTAACTTCTTTCTAACAATAATAAATCCAAAAAAACAGCTTCACAGTTGCTTTTTGAAATAGTTATAGCTGCCCCAAGCACATCCTTAATATACATAAGATTTTTCGCTTTTTGAAGTTTATTTAGTTATGGATTAGATCAAGTCCTACTATAATTATCTATTTAAATGACTGAAATTCTGCAGAAAACTATTCTTAAAATCCTCTAAAAAAATCCCTCTTTCATTTTGATCTTTCACTGCCAAAATAATAATAATAATAATTTAAAAAAAATCACATTCTGCACAGAAGGATGCTATGCTTTACCTGAATTTGAAGCAATAGCTGCTCTTGTGCCTCTATATTTTGGGCAATTTCTTCACGGATTGAATCATACTTTGCTATCTCTTTCTTGAAAAGATCTTCATGTGATCCACTTGTAGCCAACAGTTTTGGTAGTATATCATCCTGCAAGCATCCAACAATAAAAGCTTGAACCACGTCAACAATTTCTAGTTGATTTTGAGCATTCCATGTAAATTCATCCACATCTGATAATGAGAAAATTAAGTGTTTTGCATCTCCCAGAACTGAGAACCAGGAAACGTTAGTAGAAACAGAAATACAGAGAAGTATGGAATAACTCATTATACTTATTCAGAGGACCACATCATCTAAAATATGTCACAGTATATATAGATCAGCCTAGGTTGCTGAGCATTGAGAGGTACAAAAATAAAAAATGAATGGTTCTGATTTTGTTATGCGGTTACAACACAATTGCTGAGAAATAAGGACAGAGACTGTGTGCTGTTCCATGTGCTAGTTTGATAGCCGAATTAGGTTGTTATTCATCCTCCAACAAAGAAATCAAGTCACTGAATCCGAAGTTCATTAAGAAACTTGAGTAAGCTTGAGAGACGTATTTGATGAGAATGTCAGCAGCCTGATTACCGGTTGCTAGATGACAAATGGTAAGAGTTTTAGAAGCTATGTGGCCTCTGAAATAAGGAAAATCCATCTCGATGTGTTTGGTGCGAGCATGGAAGATGGGATTGTTTGCAAGGGTAATGGATGATATATTCTCACAATATAAGCTCTATATTCAACTTATGTAAAGAACCGAGCTAATATTTTCAGTTTTTGAACCTTCAGGAGCAAGTGCATGAGGCAGAATTGAGGATTGAACGCATTTGGCGAGGGCATCCAAAATTGTAGCAATTGATTCTGAGGAAAGAAGAAGAAGTAAAATTGTCAGGGGAATGGAGTATAAAGCGGCTAATAGATTTTTGTCTATTATTGGTTTCCATATGGCGTAGCTGAGGTTTAATGAAGTTTGGCTGTTGATGTCAAGCAGGAAGAGGAGCCATCAAACGTGTCAAATCCGTTAACTGTAAACAGCTGATTTGGGATTATCAAACGAGAAATGCAGTGTTTGGCAAATCATTTAGAAAAACCATTAGGAATTTGAAAGGTGGAATAGTAATAGTAGCTTTTTGGTGGATAAATTGTTCCTCCATCTGGCTGGATCGAGAAGGAGGAGAATCTATCAGAGGGAATTAAAAAAGGAGTAGAGAGAGTTGTTGGACTAGGACTTGCTTCTATACCATGAGAACTTCCACATAAATTTAGTAGAAATAGAAATATAGAGAAAAACAGAGTAATTCATTATCTATTTTCAATGGATTCAGATCATCTATAGCTGTTACAATAAATATAGAGCAGCCTAGATTGCTGAGCATTAGGAAAGACAGAAATAACGAATGGTTATGAATTGGTTATGCTGTTACATCACAGTGACTGAGAAATAAGGCAGATACACTGTGCTACTACATGTGCTAGGTTGTTGGCCGAATATAGATTGTAAAGAACAAATGAACATCTTGGCAGACTGCTCAACAGGATAAAATACAAACTGCAATAAAAAAGATATTAGTATGGATTGCATTCTTCCAGAATATTTGGATTCTCATTAACATCCCGTGCAAAGCCAGGAAACATTACAACAGAAACGGAAAAAATAGATAGGAATGCGGGCAATATAATCAGGCTTTTTTTTAGGATTACTCTATTATTTTTAACTAGGAACTTAACTAAGAAATTCAGAGATAAACTCAAGATGACTTTATAACTACCCATTTCAAAAGCAAAATCTACAACAAATACTTAGAAGTATTAAAAAGTGTAGAGAGCTTTGAAAAAAATTATGCAAATTGCTTTCTAAGATTAAAATTTATAAACAGCTTGACCAATGTGAAACGTTAATAGGCAGACTGCAAAATAAGTTTATAAACATACTGTTTCAGGTGCAAACACTTTTGTTGGAAATAAATGAATGTTAGAGCTCATGGCCAGAAAATTGTGTCAATGGGTTACTCATTACAGCTCATGCTTGAATCTACATTTTAGGAGGTGCACCATTCACGTGATCAATCCCCTGAGGAACTTCTCAAAATATAAACCACTTGAACTGTTCTTTTACAACAGTAACATTCCAGTTTCACCTAACCCATATTCAGTAATAATCATTATTGAAAGGAGCAGCAATTTCTGAGGGTTCATTAACTTAGCCATCACAACAAAAGTCAAGCGGAAAACTAAAATTTCAAGCAAAATCATTTGCAGATATAAATAAAATAAGTGCAACATCAGTTTTTTAAAATGAAAGGAAACATTCTAACAAATTTGTGCGTAAAAGCCTGCAAAGAACGTTAAAAAAAATGCACACCTTCCTTTTCATTTCTTTAAGCATATCTTCCAAGCCTGCCCTTTGTGCACCTAGGTTCTCCAGATGCCTCTGATCAGATGAGAAAAACTAAAATGAATAAACATTGAAACTAGGCAAAAGCAGGTAATCAGAGATGGGGGCTTGGATGCAGCTTCGATCAGCTGGAAAGAATGGCGGAAATGGTGACCACGAAAATTAAAATTTTGATTCTCTGGCATATTATCTCATATTGAAGTGGAGCAATAAATGGGATGAAAACTTTTGCAAAATGTATGGAAAAAGTGAATAAAAAAAATCAAAACCAATGACTTTCATGAAATATGGAACAAAGTAACGGAACTGAATAAGTGTAAAAATATACAAAATGCATAAACAACTAACAGTTAGTCTAATGATGGTCACCAGTTCACTATGTACTTTCACATACATCCAGCTTTCCTTTTGATTTATGCTGTAACCTGATGCATATCTAATCAAACATATTCTACCTCAATAAGAACATTAGAAAGCAGACATATTTCCTCTTACACTGCTGAAAAAAACAATAAAGGATGATTTTGAGTGACATTTGGACGACTATGTCAAACCTTAAAAATTCAATCCCTTCTCTAACACTCACAAAGTTTTCTCTCGTCTTCTTGTTTCATTGTTATTATCTTGCTAGCAATTTAATGTGCAAAAAATCTTCAATAGTCTTATTCTTTTTTCATTTTTTTAATCTAAAACTTAGTTTCATAACTTCCGTTCTTAGGCATAACACTTCTTATGGCCTCAACATATCAGGAGGAGAGAAATATGTAGGTATCCTTTCTTGAATAGTTCCACTAAAACAGATCCACTATGTGGATTAGCAATATGTTCTCAACAAGATTAATGTTTCAGGCCAATATATTTATTATGTCGCTCCTGCTTCATGAAAAAGAACATGAGCACACAAAAAATATATTTAGAGTTAATGGAATGACTCAGGAGGCATTATTCTGATTAAATCATCGACATAGTGTGATATTAATTTGGTAAAAACGCATGAAAAACCCAAAGTAAAAGTTTATTATCAAATAAATAACCATAAATAATGATATAAAGTACATTAACTGTTACAAGAGATAGTGTTATTAAAATAAAATAAGGTCAACTTTAAGTTTAAAGTAGGTGTCATGTGTTGAATAGAAAATAAAATTCAGCATTCGCATTTATACAACTCAGGTAAACTATGCAATGAGAAAAAAAGGCGTGATGTACAGTAAAATATTCGTCTAAAAAAATTACATTACCAAGCTTTGTTTTAGCGCTCCAACTATAGCATCTTCATTATTATCCAATGACATTATGGGTCTTGCAAGACTTGGAAGAGCAGATTCGATCTGCATTTTTGTAGGAAAGAAGATGATTAAAATAAGATAAATTCTCAAACATGAATCAGTCATAAGAAAAATAAAATTATCTTAAGCAAAAATTATTTGAATAATGAAAACAACTTTACTAAATCTGGAAGCTTTAAATGAATGCAAAAAATAAAAAAAGAGCAATCATATGCACTCACACTAATACACATCTCTCAGCAAACATTTATAATTAGATTTGTTGCCATGAATTTATGACTCAATATAGAAACAAAAGGTATGAAATCCATATTTATGAGGATTTCATCACCATTATTATCAATAGCTTAGCCCGACTATTCGTGGCCATATGAATCATTTTCCATTTGATCTTTGTGAGTGTTGCCTGAAATGTTAACTTTAATTTATAGCATTTGGTTAACTCCTTCCATTTTCCATATGAATCCCAACTTCTATCCAATTATCATTGGTTACCTCCTTGTGCTATATCCTTAGCATCAATCTTAACATTATTCCTTATTGATGCACTGATGATCATTTTATGTATGAGAAAAATAGAAATTTAATTACTACAACTTACCCGCAATATAGTACTACATCTACTACCTATTTAACAATTGTTGAGGCAACAATAATAATGTGCCGAAAATCGTCATTGCTGGTTGCAAATCTAAATGAGAAAAATCAAGGGTTAACAACTAACCATAAAACCTAAGCTCTAGCCTAGAAAGACGGTCAGATAACTGTTATTTGTTTCTTTTATTGTGTGTCGTGCTTTTATGACAATTTCTATCAAGGTAAAAGAAATGATTTCTATAAAACTTGGGAAGCATCATAATTAGCAATTAACATTAATCCATGCTATTGATTCTAAATCTATCAACAAGAAGTCAATTAAATGAAAAAAACTAAACTGCAAACCAAAATGATAGTTGATTATAAATTGGTGTCTTTGGGTCTGTTTGGGGCAGCTGTTGATTATTTATAATCTGCTGATAAGCAGATTATTCTAATAATTTGATAATCTGCAGATTACCAGAATAAGCTGACTTGTTGTTTAGAGCAGCTTATTTAGAACAGCTTACTGGTAGTTGTTATTAGATGAATGACCATTCTACCCCTGTTTGGTTAAGTTGTTTGCAATATAAATAAAATGAACACAAAAGTATATAATACAAAAAAAGTTTTAACACTTCTGCAATAAATTGTGATATAGAATGACTATAATCCAACAAGGACCACATAATTGTGACCTACAAGTCTTTAAGGTATACTGCTTTGATGGGAATTAGAACCAGCTTATTTAGAACAGCTTACTGGTAGTTGTTATTAGATGAATGACATTTTGCTTCTGTTTGGTTAAGTTGTTTGCAACATAACTGTATATGGAAAATAATATATAAAACAAATGCCTCAAACTATTATAGTTCAGATGTCTCAAATCATAGAGATTTGTAGTATGTGCAAGTGCAATATTTACGCAAGTTTATAATCTTGCTCATACATTTCCAAGAAAACTCATAAATTTCTGCAAGAAAACTCATAAATTTCTGCATGTTTACAATAAATTTCTGCAAGAAAACTCATAAAAAAAGCTTTAAAAAATGAGGCAATCATGGTAAAAAAAACCAAAATCACCGTTAAAAATATTATTTTATCCTCTTGCAGAGTAGACGCAGTATTCCCATCAACAAACATAAAAGACAACTGCACAAAATATTATTTTATCCTCTTGCAGAGTAGAAACACACAAGTTCAATGACCATCGATCAACTTTCAGATGACTCACATGAAGCATAAATCACAAATTTCTGAATCCCAAGAAAAAAAGAGACGATCGTACTGATTAAACGCCCTAAAAGCCTCCGTAGATCTGGAAATCAGAAAAATCCAAGGAACATCTGTATTCCTGAGCTCATCCTACTCTGCCCTCCGTTGCCAAGAGAAAAAGACGAAAACAAAGAAAAAGAGCTCGGAAGCCAGCAACGGAGGACGCGGGAAGGATAAACGAAAGGGGGCGAGCATAGCAACTGGAATAGCAGAGGAGAGGAGGATCGATTCTCCTTGAAACGGCGAGGACGAGGGCGAGGGCGAGGGAGATGCGAAGGGCACCACAATAATTCTTCCCTAATCGCAAAAATTATACGCGGGAGGAGTCGGGCTTGCGAATTTACGAAGAAAATAGCGATATTAAAACGCCGCGGAATCAAAAATTTACGCCCAACGCTGTATTCAAACAGGATGGCGGTGTTTTGAAAACGCCGCCGCACTCTATAAGCTGCCCCACTGCCCCAAACGGGTCCTTTGTTAGAATTACATTAACGTTTAATAAAGCTATTCTTGATTTAACACCATGGGAGGGCTGTTGTGTTCTTTGACGTGTAGAGAATGTGAGATCACTCGCTATTTTTGGTCCTTTTGGCCACAATATAAGCATGTCCGTTGCTTTTTCATATTAAAGTCAGACATTCTACAAAAATGCTTATTTTATCATGGATAATATGAAGGGATGAGATAAAGCTACTATTTTGGCTTTATATGTTGATCAAATGGCTCTTCAAATGAGCTCCACATTTATTTATATGTATAAGCATGCTATGGTTTCTTGCACATTTCCATTCTCTTGTTGCAGTTTGGTAGGCCTTCCGAAGGAAATGGTAACCATCCTAGGGCGCCATATTACCAAGTTTGTTAGTTATATTTTCATCAATTTCAAATGGTAAAATTTGATGATTTTAGCCAATATTGCATCTGTTTGATCAATTTGTTCCAATGATGGTTGGAGAATTTACATTTTTCTGAAGTAAACTCAGGTAACACAATACTTAATCATCTACACAATTCCAATTTTCCCCATTGTGTTGACACGAACTGGTGGGCACTTGATTATTAATATTAATTGTATTACTTGAGCTGACAACTTCCGTGCACGATTTTTTTTCTATGACAACCTGAACGCATCAGAAAATTTGTGCAGTGTATGTTGGGGATATTTGAAGCGATGAAATACCCCGTGAATAAGCTCATGTGTAAGTTGGGCTTAAATCCTAAGTTGAAAACGAACCGTCTCACTAGTGCATCCCAAACAAACAAGAGAAAGGAAGGAAATCATAGTCAACGAACTAGAAGATTCAACATACAAAGTTCTCATAAATTTGTAGCTCAATTCATAGCTTTTTAGAAATGTGGCCCCAGACAATGCCACACCACACGCATGGTAATATATTTTAGAACCTTTCAACAAAAAAAAAATGTGGCCAGTATGCCGATAATAAATTTGTCAAAACATGCTTCAAAATTTTGAAGTTATTTAGAAAGTTCTACCGACTCATGAAGAAGAGTGATAGGGGTTAAGTCTACAAAACATCATTTTTTGCAACAAACGATGGAATTTAAAATGGACTTATTATTAACATTTAACAGGCAGAGGAGTGTATTGTAGAGCATACATGATTTGTAATTGTAGTTAATTTTGTGATTTACCTCCATCTAGGAGAGACTTGACATGCCCATATTACATGATAACTATTTGATTCATTTGTAACGTTGTAAAAAGACACAATTGTTCCTGAAAAAATTGGTTCAAGAGGTCATCTTAAGGGCCTCAGAGAAGGAAACCTCGAGAAAGTTTGCCATGATGATGTCCGAGGAGATTTTGATTTTGATTGCCATCTTATGAAGGGGCTCAAGTTTGTTCATCAAATGATGTAGGTTTCAATGAGTATAGCGGATGGAAACCAAGTTGCTCACAATTCAAGGTAGAACCTAAAGATCCTTAGATGCATATCTAATTTGCACCAATAGAAACTAAATAAAATACTGAAGCAACAATTGTGAAATAAACATAACTGTGATGAGGATTCTACACAACTTCGCCACTAATAGACCTAGATCAATGAAGAGATGGGTCAGTATCTTGAGCTTATATGTCACAGATAATAGCTAGTTTTCAAGACAGCTGGTCACACTATTGAAGTGTGAGGTTTATCATGTTACTATTGATGTTATATCAAACAACAAGACTACACGAGCACGTATGATATATCAACCCAAATCCTATTTAAGAAAGTGGATATCCTTCATAAATAACCCTATTTTATAAATAAAGAAGTCAATGAGTATATAACCCTATTTTATAATCCTAAATAAGAAGAATAAGACTTAATTTACATACAAGGTTATTATCATCTCCTAAGTTGTGCCTTTAAAAATAATCTAGAAAGTTCATAACCTTGAAATTTTATCGGTGAGGTACTATTTATATGCTATTATTTTATTCCATAATACTAGGATATTAGTACATGTAGTAATAGCATATGTTCAATGCAAGAAATTTATTTCAAATGCACGTGCTGGAGAATTTGATAAGCAAACTTCAAGATGATGACCCTATGGAAAAAGAATTAAATTAATGTTTGCTAATCAGGATTTCGCAAAGCAAGAGCTACTAAGGCCCATGCATGTTAGATCATATCCAAGGCATCAATGAACAAGCAACTAGGAGTCATTATGTAGGGAGAGGGTTTGACACGCCTAGCATCAAATATATAAGTTTCTCAAATATTCCATAAAGATGGTTAGTATATTTTCCATTAATCCTTTTCAAACTATAATAAGCATTACTCGAAAATATGCAAAGGATCCCAAATGGAGATCAAAATTGACATCCATAAATGTGTACAAAACAACCCTTTTAACCATATTTGAAGAACATTATTAGTACAATTGACGGTAAAATGTTTGTATTTATTTGTTGGAAACAAAATGCACCAACCACAAGGGGTTCAAATAATATAATTTGAAATTTGTTACGTTGTTGAAGCAGCTATGCTCCAGATCTAAAGAATCTATTGCAGATATACACAAGCATAGCCAACCAATTAAGAAGGGTAGGATTTATGTTACCCAAGATTTAAAAAAAAAACCTACTGGTGGCAATCAATGCTTTCCAAAACTCAATTTTTCTTTTTCATTTTACAAATGTAATGCTAAAGCAGACATAATTTTCATCAAAAATATTA